ATCGATTAATTTGTCTTCTCATATACTAAGAACTAATTCCTCCGTTCAACAATAGTTATTCTTTGTACTATTTTGGAATGTCCAACAATACTTGTCCACTTTATGAAATCAATGAATAATTTTACACTTAATTCCTAATTTACCCTTATTGTTAATTATAGTCATTTCTCTATTATATTTTTCAAGACATTGTATTTATTATATTCAAATGGTGATATAGTAAAATTACCATTCTATTTATAATTTCTTAAGAATTGTGTAAAATCAATAATGAACAAGTATTGTTAGACAGATACTATAATATATTTCAGTTACAAGACATTTTCCTAGAGTCCACATATGGTAATCGTACAAAGGCCAATCCCATGACTGAATTCGGCAGAGCATATAATATAGGAAAAATATACGGCATCTTTTTTTATTTCCCACTTAATTAATGAGACTATGAGAGGACAAAAAGGACAACTGGATAGTAGAGTGAGTAGTGTATTTTGTTAAATAAATCCAAACAAATAATTAAAAAATCATCTAAAGCTGAAAATATTCTTTCCTACCTAGCTATTCAATTTGAAGAGGTCAATGGCTCCAACTTTTGGTTATAAATAATAATAAGCCCTTTCGTCCGCAACAAATTAACCATTAATCAATATTTAATCACAAATTGAATCTATATAGTATCACTTAAGCGGCTTCTAATGCTAACCACCTTAATGATTAACACAGGCGGATTACGAATTGAATATATGTTATCTTTTTAGGATTAGGAAAATATATAAATCAAGAGATGGTAGTACGTTAGCTGATTAGTTGGAGGTAGTTTATTGTGCGTCCTCTCTATAAAAAACAATAAAGGCTTGGCTAAATAGCGGATTCAAGATTTGAACTTGCAATTTCAAAGTAAATTTTAAACCATCTAAATTTCGTAAGCTAACATCTAATCTTATATTTAAGAAATTTAAAATTAATATATATACATAAAAATTTAATTATCAAGAATTCAAGTTCGGATAAACATCCTCTCGTCAAAGTTAAATTACCCACTATAACCAGAGGCGAATCTAGGATTTTTCAAACATGAGTGCATCAAGTAAAATGTATTGAAGTGAGAATTGATCCTTAATCCTCAAGGTCAAAAGCTCAACATTTAACCATGTGGACCATTTAAACTTCTTGTAGTACGGGTGCAAGAATGTAATATTATACAAAATCTTAAAAAATATACATATAAAATATATAATTTTACGAAGAGACGACCACGGGTGCGGATGCCCTATTTTTTGGTTGTAAATTCGCCACTGACTATAACCTACTATGAATTAAAGAAGTTCAAAATCTGTTATGCGTGGGAATTAATTAAATGTCCACACCTAACTTCAACGTATAAAAATGGAAAATATTAAAGAATCACTAGCTCAAATCCAATAATCCCCTTACCTGTTTGTCCATTTGAGTTTCTTTGTTACTCCGAGTAGGTTAAAAATTTATATTTCATCCATCTAATTTGATTTATTTTCATTATAAATTCATTTTACTTATAAAATTATAAGTGTTTGGTGTTTACTGGCATGTCAAAATCTATAATTAATAGCAAAGACGAAAAAAATATTTTGAGTTTATGAATTCTAAATTTTAGGCGTTGTAAAGGCGCAATGTTAACAAGATTTTAACTCTGGTCTTAGAATTTGTTGTAAAGGCGCAATGTTAGTGTTAGTGTTAACCAAGCCCAACGATGTGTTCGACCATAACTCCAAGGCTATCACTTAGGCCTCGTTATAAGCAGGATGTTATCTTTATCCACTAATAGTACTATTTTGCAAATTTGATGTATTTATTAAGAAATAAATTAATAAGTTCTTACATCCGCCATGTTAACTATGGACGAAAAAGGAAATACAACCGGCATAATGGAATCATCCAATATTTTTATTTGGATGTAAGTCTCGGATTTGTCTAAGTAGAAAGGAGAAAAAATCATGGATTATTGGATTTATCTTATCTCATCAAATTATGATGTTATTTTATCTTATCTCGCAAATAAAATAAATAAATTCAAAAATTATAATCCCAAAATAACCTCGATGATGAATCAAATAACCTACAAAGAATGAGGGCAACACAAAGTTGTTATCGTACCATCTTGTTCTGACAGATTGCGATCTTAAACATAATGACTAAATCAGCCCTACACGAGTCATGAGTCATGACAGCAAGTACGATAAGCTTAATAATACGATGAAAATATAATATCTTGTGGGCGCTCAATTAATTAAAGAGGCCTACAAGTAGTACAAATATAACCTACTATTATATTCCAATCTACCCGTTACACACTTGAATCAAATCAAAATTATAGGAGAAACTGAAATCACCAACAATCTTTCCAAAATCAAAATTCGAAAGACTACAAATTATCTCTCCGCAAATACTACATGTGTTAATTTTTTCGATTTTCGATGGAAACCGATTCAAATTACAGTCGATCGGTACTGCCTCATAGGTTGTACGGTTGTATGTCACCGTCTTGTATTCCGGTGCACGAAGAGTATTCGCGAATAAACACGTTGACAAGTGGAGGAGGAGGAGGTAGCAGGAATCCCGCGAAATTATGGAGGAAGTTGTTGAAGAAATTGGTGAATGAAGGCAAAAAGAATATTATGTACGGGAAGCAGAAGTCGCTCAAGTTTCAATATGATGTTGTTAGTTATTCGCTAAATTTCGATGAAGGGGGACTTACGGATGAGTATCCTCGGCGTCAAATATAATTAAGAGTTCAGAGACTTCAACAATCAGCGTACATAATTTGATATTTAGGTTTTATTATCGTCCTAATTAAATCAGGTTTTGAGTTAACTTTGATTTGCATATCTTCTCTTAATCATTAGTCATGCCTTTTCTAGTTTAATTTCTTCTTTTTTTTTGCTTAATTGAGAGTGAAAGTCAATAAACTTTGAACCCAATGTGTTTTCCTCGAAGAATCTTAGTAGCTCAGTTGGTTGGTTACCTGAATTTTCAGTAAAAAAAAGTGTTTTCCTCTCTCTTTTTTTTAATCTTTTGTTAAGAAAATAATTTTTTGGTTGAGATGGAAAAACTTCATTGAACTAGTTCACTCCAAGAAAGTTTCAGAACTTTGGAGAAAGAAGGTCCTTAATTTTCGTACTAATTGATATCAAATTCTTTAAATTTTAAGTTTAGAAAGTCATCTTTAATTTGGAAACATAATCTTCAATTCCTCAACAATACAAGAGAAAGGTAAAAAATGAGAGTTCTTTGACGGATTAAAAATACTTCAACTAATTATTTTTGATTTTTTACTTGATATGCCGTATTTATTTTGGGCTCAATTATTAATCTCAATGGATAGTAGCTAATCTCAAGAGAGAAACCCTTCTTGTCTTTTTTTTATTCTCAGATACAAATCCGAAAAAATTGATCAAGTGTGGAGACATCATATTATCTCAACTATTTGGCTGTAATCACAAAGCCAGTTCAGTGTTCAATAGAAATTAATGTATTAAATTTTTTGAAGAACTAAGGAAATTTATAAGACATGTCACATATACTAGCTAAAGATAACCAGTAGTGAAATTTATAAAATGTGGCGATGTAATGAAAAATGACTAGTCTAAAAGGAAGAAAACAAAAGCAAGAAACCCCTGATACGAAATGAAAAATATTCTCAACTATATTAAAGTTTAGAGGACTTTTCATTACACGTTTTATAATCTCTATGGTTTTCCAAGATATGTTGACTACTTCAATTTTTTTTGTCTAAACTAATCCATTTGGCTTATTTTATTGTTTCTTTATATACGTGTAAGAAATACCATTTCAAGAAACTAAAAAATTAATACAGAAATGAGAGTACATAAAATCTAAATTATAATTATCATATATGTCAGCGTGTACATAGTCACACCACTTGTTTAGGTCAACTGATTTTATTAGTTGTGATCATATGCTCCGCCACACGCAATTTTGTTATTCTCATTATGCAAAGACTTTATTTGTATAGAAAATTGTGATTTCGAACCCATAAATTAAAATTCTGTTTCCGCCTTTGGGCTTATGATGCCTCTGCTCTCGTTACGTGCAATATCATCTGTTTGAATTACATTGGCAGCACAGATAATGTATGCTAGCATTATGAATTAGATAGTACATCATTTTATGAGATGCCTTTGTATCTCCACACTAATATATATATATTTTATATAACCTTAAAAGCATGAACTCCTAACTTGAATGTTAAATTACTATAATATCTCTAACTTAATTAGGTTGTGACCTTTTTGATGAGTTGTGACTTTTCCGATAAGTAGTGACATTTTTCAAAGGGTTGTGATTTTTCGATGAGTTGTGACTTTTCCAAAGAATTGTGACTTTTTCATTAAGTTGTGACTTTTTCGAAGTGTTGTGACTTCTCGAAAAGGTCATGATTTTTCAGATAAGACACAAAAAATATTTGTTCATACTACCCTTTGTTACTATAACTAGAGGGACTTCCTCTCATTTTTCAACCACAATTTTTTCTAATCTTCTACTATTCTTCTTGCATTTTAATTTTTTTTGTGTAATTTATTGTCGTTGGGTGAGTTCAAAGTTTAGAGGAATATGAAGTACCACTATTCTGATGAAGTAAGTCGTTCTATCCTAAGAGGGAACATTCCATAACCTCGAGTACTTAAGGAAAATAATTTAATTTTAAAATGTAGTTGTTCTCTTCACATGTTCATATGACATCTAAACAATTTAACGTAAAATACATATGCAAAGCACATCTGGTTAGATGACAAGAAAAATACAAAACAAATATTATCTATAAGGTAATATTAGTGAGATAAGACTAATTACATGATTGAACCTCATCAAATTGAAATAAATGTATACATAATTGCATTTAACTAATAAATTTTTTCAAAAGTCATCTTTATTTTCTTAAACTCCGTGTCAAGTCAAACTAGATAGCTCTTTTTGAAACGGAGGGAGTATTATTTTTTGCTAATCTTATTATTCAAATCTTCGCTTAAATAAGCAATACTATTTACTATAACATATATTTTTGAAATTGGTAATCACGTGCATTGCACATATCAAAAAACTAGTATATATATATATATATATATATAGAAACACTGCAATCCTTCTTTTAGTTATTTCTCCTCTTCTGCTGCCCTGTAGTTTAGGTTGTTAAGTTATTGATCTTTACTGCCATCATTGACACCTACCTGTAAAAAGGTCAAAATATCAATAATTGTCTTGTAGGAAATGAATGGTTTGTAACCATGCTAGTTGTTAAGGTGCCTAGTTTTGGATCGAGTTACTGGACGATTAACTGGAAAGTCAGGCTCAACACTCAGGTCTAAACCGGCGTATGATTGCTGAATTTTGCAATTCATTCAGAGAATTGCTGGGAACTTGTTTGAGAAAGTTCTGAATCTTTGTGACTAGATAAAATCCAGCTTGTTAATATATTAATAACGTCAACTCTCTTAAACAGAGGTTTACAGTAGCAAAAGTCCTATAAAAATCTATTACATTATTAGTGCACAAAACTTAAAACTATAATTGACGTCTTACGTACCTTGAATCAGATGTTCCTACTTGCATCTCAAAATTTTGTGGCTCAGGCTGGCTTAGCTGCAGATGGATGGGGGCCTGAACTTCTCTACTCACTGTAAAGCGATACGGATATATATAGTTGATGTTTCCATTCACTGCATGAGCATCTCTTGTACCATAAACCTGAAAGAATTATAAAGTTATCTTTTTTGCAGTATTAGCTTTAACTATGTAATTATGCAAGGAAACTCTTACTTAAACTCAAGTACTGCTAACTTTTTATACAATTCTGCATTTTCTTGTCGAATGAGATTTACCTTCTTGTAGAGTTCCAAATTTTCTTGATGTATTATGCTCCCCTGCATACATTCAATAGGAATATGATCACGAGTTCTCAGATCAATTTTTCGATTTCTGATCTAATCATATCACATGATGAATGCTGCTACAGTACCTTTCGAGTTAGCTCTTGAATTTCATCCTTCAATATTTGCTCCTATAAAGTCAGAAAATGTTTAGTTCCAAAGACTAATTAGTTGATAGTATCATCAGGTTGATTGCTGACCTTTTTCATACGGATTCCCTTTAAGCTCATTTCCAGTTGATTCTCCAGATTTGTTAGTTCTTTTATGCCCAAACCACTTAGCTCCTCTCCCAATAATTGCCTATTGAATAATAATAGTCAGTGCAATTTGTTAAAGTCATGTGCAAACATCGAATTCCATGAGTCCATAAATTCATGAAAAAATCGTAACATGTGTTTATTTTAGCCTTTATCGATCTGGTATATGTATTTGTTCAAGTACAGACCAAAAATCGTAACATGAAAATCCTGATGTATGAATTGGTTCGTAAGCCTGTTTTGATGCTATTGTAAAGTAAAAGCATGTTTTAACGAGTAAACATTACCGTTGATTCCCTTGCAGATCCTGTAGTTGTTGCCCCAAGATCTCTGCCTCCCTCTGCCACAGCTATAGCAAGCACAATTTACTCAGGTTATATACAGATTTTGAATAATAAATAGTATACTTTCTTTTCTAGATTTTAGTTTGCAGGATTATACATTTCAAATAACCTGCACAATAGTGTAAAAAAACCTGAATTTGGCCAATATTATATTGCAGTAATTCAAATTATACATATCCGATCATTTTAAGGTTCAAATTAAATTTATGCTTCCAAAGTTATTTACCTGAGATTCATTACAAGAATATATACCAAGCTATTTATCTGAGAATTCATGTTGTTGCTATAGCCTATATATACATTTATGATTACAAGCTATAGGAATATGAAGGTACGTAGAAATGAAATAATTTATGTATTCATTCCGGCTAAAAATAAATGAAAACAGTCAATTCAGACGATCATTTGTTGATTGAATATTACCTTGAGTTCTGACACTGGATTGTGCAATTGCTGACAATCGTCCTTCGTTTTGGTGTATCGTTCAATAACTGATTTCATGCTGTCATATATATGCACTCCCAAAGTCAGGTATTTCTTTCAAAATTTAATATATATACGTTAATATTAAATGGTTATTTTATTATTGTTATAAATGTTTTTTACAGTAATTTAATATTTTATACTAACAAATTGCATATGTAATTTTTATGGCTGTTGAAAGTTGGGAGAAAATAAAGCAAAACATCATACATGAAGATTGTACCAAAGATAATGCAAAAACGAAGAGGATAAATTATTTTGTTATATCATTATAGAGTATATTATATACTCTGTGATGATCATCTTATTTACTTCATGCTTATGAATTACTATTATTAAAAATTGGTTATCTTATTAAGATTGATAAAATAAAGCTTAATTAGCCTTATTTGCTTGTGATTATTCTCGTTGAATTTTTATTTATTATTAATAAAAAAAATCATTAAACAATTTGTCTAGTGGTATAAGTTTGCCCCACACCTCCAAGGCTCCAACCCCCAAAAAGAGTAGATATATTTACTCTTATTATTTCTGAATAATTAAATATTTGAGTTATATGCATTGTTTGTATGCATGATTTTTCGTTATTAGTAGTTAGGGTTTGAAATAAGAGGATTCCCTCTCTCCTTCGCTCTGTATTTTAGGAGCAAATGTGTGTTATTCAGGATGCTTAAATTTCTCTGTCAATGCCCTGATTTCACAATTTTCACCATAAACTCAAGAGGTCCTCAAACTAATTATTACGGATATGCAAATGAAATAGTATTTTTTATTGATGGGAATAATAAATCCATGAGACCTTGTTATATATGCATCAAAATAGTAAGAATAATGAGAATTTTTTTGTATAAAAATTGTGTAGTGAGCTTTTTCATTACTAATCCAAAGGTTTGGAGTCCGGAACAAAAAAGGCAATCAAATTTTTCGAAAAATTCAGAAGGACAACTAAATTATTTATCAAACCAAAAGGGCCTCAAGGCGCAGAAATCCATGCGCATTACAAGACTATGACAGTTTTTAGCCTTGTAAGGTTATGACAGTTTTTTGCCTTACAAGGCGCAGGCCCACTTGCGTTTTGCAGGCTAATTTTTTATTTTTTTAAAAAAAGGATTCATTTTTTGAATTGAGTAAAAATTTGCGAATCAAATTCCATTTTAGCGTATGAATTTATACAAAAAATTCGGAAAAAAAAAAGTATGGGCGTGGGAATACTTTTCAAATTTTTAGTTTATGCTTTTTATATATATACTTTTTAATTATTTTTAATTATTTTTTATTTATTTGTAATTTTAATATAGTATTTATTAAATTATTTTTATTCACTTTATCTAATAATTTTTTACTACTAATTGAAGTATTTTATTTTATTTTTTTGTTGAAACATATACCGCGTGAAAGTTTTACAATGTTGATTTAATTCAATACTGTAAAAATATATCACGCGAAACTACAATGTTGATTTGATTCAACACTGAAAGTTTGAGGTGAAAATATAATAAAACAAGCGCAAGAGACTTGGGTGAAAACAACACTGTATACTTGTGACTTTTTTTATTTTTGTTTTACTTTTTTTTCTTCGAATTTTTAGTTTAAATTCATATGCTAAGATGGAATTCAATTCGCAAATCTTTACTCAATTCAAAAAACGAATTTTATTTTTTATTTTTTAAAAATAGCCTGCAAAACGCAGGTGGGTCATAGCCTTGTAAGGCGCATGGATTTCTGCGCCTTGTGGCGAAAACCCTGATTTAAATGCCGTTAAAATCAGTTGCCCTTTTGATTTGATAAATAATTTAATTGCCCTTTTGAAATTTTCAAAAAAAATTGTTGCCCATTTGGCTCCGGACTCCAAAGGTTTGCTCCGGATCAACAGAATGAGAAAATTCACTAGTTTCATGGGCAATTTTTTAAAATTAATTTGTCTACCTGTGTTGTCCTATTTATATAGGGAAGTGAAGGAAATGAGTTGTACACTTTGATAGCATGGATGACAATAAGGTACTTAATAGATCATGACAAAGCAAAAGTTCTTTCAATATGAGGAAGAATGATCCTCATCAAACATGTCCTACAATCAATGAAATTTTTTTCAAAGATGGTGGAGTTTTAGAACTTAAAAGACAAAGTAGATCATGAAAAAAAATTCCAAGCAAATTACAATAGTACTATAACAGATCATGCCATCCTATGGCAAAGAGGGAAGCAGCTTCTAGTATCTCTTAAATATGGAGGCCATATGTTACAAATCAAGAACAAGACAAAAAGTAATTAAATTTGAAAAATTCATCTTTGAAAAATTTAAAAGATGGATCAAATAAATTACATTTAATATGATAGAAAACTTTGACTTTTCTCCAAATATTTTGCTACAAGTTGTACAACACTTCTTTCCTTGTTGCTCTCACTAACTACATAGATAGTTAATGCATGAAGCATTTTGATAGGGTCTGAAGGAGGATCGCATTTTTAGGGGTGTGTTGCAGAAAAATTATTCTTATGCAAGTAATAATAATTGCTTCTATGACCTATATGCCACATAAAGAAAACTTTATCATTGCTCCAAGAGCCGCCTTTCACTAACTACACTATAATCTTCCACTTAATAAGTAGTTGATATAGCTATCCAAGGCATAATCAAATAGTCACTAGGTATACCTTCAACTTAAACCTACTAGTTGTATATATATAAACTTTTCGAGACATTATCAAAATTAATGTTTGTTTCAAAATTGTATCAGTGGGATCTTGAGAGTCCTTTAGTCGACGAGTCAGTAAAATTTTCTTTAGTCCCTACTAAACAAATAGTTCTAATAAGTTCATTAATAATCAATCGTCTTTGAGTATTAATGTCATATAAAGATATGCCAAGATTTATTTTGGCAACTTTATATTAAGTTGTACTACATATCTTTGCATTTAGCTACAAAAAGAACCCCAATTACCAATAAAAAATTCGTTGGTAAATTGATCAAATTGGTTGGCAAATTGAGTTACCAATCAAATGTCAACTTATATTAATCCGTTGCTAAAAGGCTCGTTGTTAAATATTACCAACCTATTTTAATTTATTGATAAACTTACCAACCAAAAATCAGTTGGTAAACACCCAAAGATGTTGTTACAAAATTTTGAAACATGACCCTGAAATTTCCGTTAGTAAATTCACCAACTAGTTTTTGGTTATCGTTAGTACCTTTACTAACCTTTTCAATTCGTTAGTAAATATATTTTTTTTCATTATTCGATTCCGTTGGTAATACATTGGTAATTATAGCAACAAATGTCTGATAATAAACTTTTCCAGATACATTGGTAATGTGTTGGCAATTTTAGTAGCAGAAAATTTATGTTGGTAATTTACCAATAAATTTTAAATACTTTATTTTTGGTTTCCCAAGACCTCTTGGTTAAGGATGAAGGAGTACTTATCACTCCACCACAATCCTTGTTGGTAATAAAATTTAAATATGTTAGTATGATTATTTGTTTTCTAATAAATTTACTAATTGATTGTTAGTTTGTTGGTAATATATCATTCATGTTCAATGTTAGGTTAGTAATTGATTGACAATATGTTCAAAATATTATTAACTGAATGATTATTCAATAGTAAAAAAATTATTAATTTATTGCATTTAAAAATTTAAGAACACGAATATAAATCCAAAAATATTAAAATCCATTTTATAAATCATATTTGAATGAAACAATGCAAAATCTATGATAACAAGTTAAATTAATCTCAATATGACATATATCATTATATCAAAAATTTAAATTTGAGCACGTTTACCAAAAATATTAACCGACCAAAGTCAAGTTTTGGCTAAAATTTAAAAGTTAAAACGCCTAACAGCACAAACTGAAAATGGAAGCCTCAAAACCTGAACCAACCATCCTATTAGATATAAAAATGACCTTCCAAAGCTAATCGTGCTGACGAAATTCTCATCAGAGTACGTTTACAAAAAATGTTAAGCAAAGTACAGTAAAATTTTGGCCAAAAGTTAAAAGTTAAAACGCCTAACAAAATCCAAACCAACCATCCTATTAGACGAAAAATGACATTCCAGAGCTAACCGCA